GGGAGTCTAAGAAACATGTTTTTTTAGGTTCACCTGCTGAGAATGATCAACGTGACATAATGCTTCGAAGCATCTGCAAACTGCAGTCATTATTTCCTTAGGTAACTCTTTAGAAACAAATCAAACTGAGAAACTGTGATTTCCAAATCTCCAAAACTGTGAGATTTCCTTCCTACTACCTGTGTTTACCCAAAAATAAGACATCCTCCGAAAATAAGACCTAGTGCACGGAAAGATAAGACATCCCCTGAAAATAAGACCTAGCGCAACTTTGGGAGAAAAAATTAATATAAGACACTGTCTTAGTATTTTCGGGGAAACGGGGTAACACTTTCCAAGCGTGCCTGAGCGAATATGCTTTGATGATCGTTAAGTTCCCCTTTTTGTTTTGCTATTTAAAAAGCAATGCTTTGACCTCACATTTTGAAGATGTTTCTAACTGTGCACTGCTAACAGCGAGGCCCACTTAAATATAAGGCCCTGGGCTCCCGGCTTGAGCAGAAACTCTCTTCAGTAGGACCAGACTCTGCTCCGAGCCCACCCCTTCCAAGAACTCCGCGGTCAAAGGACCAGGCATAGGTGCCACCAAACCTGGGCTTCGCTAAGCGGGGCCTCTGAGAAGCCACTGGCTTCTCCCTGTGTTTAGGCAACAAGTGGCATCTGCCGTGAGAAACTCACTCTTACAAATCGTAACTGCCAACATGGCCGAACACTAGACCCAAGAACTCACAGGGCGCCCGAAGGCCTCCAGGTAGCCGGGAGGAATGGCTACTTCACTCGCACGCGGAGGAACAGGACGGCGGCATTCACCGCCTTCCAAGATCGGAGAGCCAAGACACACAGCCACACACCACAGTTTATCACTGTTTTCTTAGAAACTTGTTTTCCTAGTGTTTCCATTTAGCTTCAATGCTAATCCCATGTCACACGCACAGTTTCCTCCGGTCTTCCTTTGCTTTTCCTTTCTTCACTTTCCACCCCCTCTCTAAAACGCCAGCCCCTTTGGGATCCGTAGAATGACAGGAAGGAAAGGCACAGCATAGACACCCGCCCCCAGAGGCAAGCAGCTCCCAGGTCAGGGAGTGTCCGCGGCTAGATGCTTGGAAAGCAAAGGTCATAGAGACAGCTATTTGTCAATACCTGCAGAAATACTGCAGGACAGGCAGGTCCGGGACATCCCATCAGCAGTTTGTTCAAGAACAGAAAGAGGGCCTTGGGGTGGCTCAGTGGTAGAGCTTCCGCTCGCTCACTGAATGGTCAAGGATTTGATTCCTGGTAGGTTCCCTGCCCTGATAGCATTTCATAGAGGGGGCAACTGATGTCCCTCACATCGATGTTTCTTCTCTTTCCCCCTCCCTCCTTTCACTCTAAAAACCAATAGGGAAAATACCTTCGGGTAAGGAGAGAGAGAGGAAGGGAGGCGGGGAGGAAGGGAGGGAAAGACGGGCGGAAAGAACAGAAAGGGAACAGTGGCAGGGAAACGCAACTCCTGAGTTCTAGGAGCACACGCCGGGCCAGGGCAGGGCTGGAAGACAGGAAACTGAGCTTTTCCCACATTCTTGGCTTGTTTTCTAAGAAAAGGATTAAGTTCTAATGTCAGAGAAAAAGCATGATTTTGACTTCTATTTACACTGAAATATTTATGCTCAGGAAGGAGCAGCAGGTGGCGCCACGGCACGGCGCCCTGGGCTCCTTTCTAGAAAGAAAGAGGCAGCACAGCAAACCAGACACACTGTCTTGCTTTCACTAGTAACCCACAGCTGCCGGAGGTCAGAGTGAAGGAGAGACTGGGAGACAGGAGCCTGATCCAAGTACATCGATTAAGGCAATGAGTGGCCTTGACTTGGACTACCAACAGGCTTTTCTCAAAGACAAACTTCTGCCTAAAATTTTACATTCAACTTGGACAAAGAATGAGAAAACAACCTGGCTCGTGTGGCTCAGTGGTTGAACGCTGTTCTGTGCATAAGAATGTAAAATTTCAAGGTCAGGGCACATGCCTGAGTTGCAGGCTCCATCCCAAGTGGGGGGCATGCAGGAGGCAGCCAATCAATGTTTCTATTGCTCCCTTCCTCTCTCTCTGCAAAAATCACAATAAAAAATGTTAAAAACAAAAGAGTGAGAAAACATATTCATCAAATACCTGGATGTCATGGGAATAAAGAGGAAGAATAGTTATCAAATCAAGATTTAATAAAAACAAGAGCACAAACCATTAGGGTAAAATGACAATGCTATAAAATATTCTTCATTTTTAATCAAAAGGAAAAACAAGTGAGAATAGAATGGGAGGAAAATCTGGCCCGAGAACAAGTTTGATGGAAAAAAAGCTAGAGACCATGTCCTGTATGAGCCCAATCTGTGACGATGCATCTAACTGCTGAGAAAGGTAAGGTCGTGGCAGGTAGCTTTGTGCGGAAAGGGATCTGCAGCCCGCGGCTCGGACCCGGGCGACACTCGCCTTGAGCCAGCAGCCCTGTGCCAGGAGGGGGCCGCCGGGCGCGGAGGCACGAGTGGGAAGCGTGGGGAAGCCCAGGACTAACGCGCTCATGCTCTCGGCTCCCATCCTCCTGGGGCAGCGAAAAGCAAGAGAAAATGGAAAACAAACAAAAACCGCACTTGCAGCAACACGGAGACAGGAGCAGGTCTTTAAGGACTTCCAGTGGAGCAAGGGAAGGAGATGGGCCTCAGAGAGGGCGGCAGCAGCACTTTCCAGAGCCCGGGGGGGGGGGGGGGGGGGGGGGGGGGGGGTTGCGCAGGCAGAGCAGACGTGCTCACCTGCAGGGGTCAGGAACAGGGGGCTGGCAGAAGTCCTCACCCCCCATGGACCTGACCCCATGGCCATTTCAAAGAAAGGACAGCTGCACTGTGTCCCCATATCTCGGCATGTGGGCCTTTCTGCTCCCCACACTCACAGGTAGGAAGTTATTCCCTTCAGGTTTAACTGTCACTTGTCTTATGAGTGAGCTGACCTTTTATCTACTCTGTCTGTTAATAACAAAAGACACCTCTAATCCGCCAACAGTTTTGACTAAACCCTTCATGCCAGTTCAGGGCTACAAACCAGTGATGGCTCAAACATTCCCAAAGTGCCACAGAGAGCCCGCCCGCACACCAGGAGCCACGCTCCGGGACGCTCCTGCCAACATGCCCCTTGCAGCACGCAGTTCCTCTTTCCTGACACGAGTTGCAAAAAGGCGACTCTGAGTGCGAGCCTTCACTGAGAAGCCGACATTAAAGGCCACACGACAGGAGCAGTGAGCGTAAAGCTCTCAGGTAGCGGAAGTCCTGCTGAGGCCTTGCTGCCTGCGGAGCTGCAGGAAGCTGTCCCGCCACCTGGCCTAGCCGCAGCTCCTGGGCCGGGGCCCCACACCAGCTCTGGCTGAGCTGCCTTCCCACTTAAGTTACAAACCACCCAACTCACCTTTTTCTTGTGCTAAAATAGGGGTGTCGAACTCAATCAGAGAAGGGGCCAAAATCTAAAATCCAGCCTAAATCGCGGGCCGAATGGTTTACTGAACAGTCATAAACTGTCATTGTGATGGAAACGCAGCGGAGTGCAGTGATGACAGCGCGGTGCGGGCCACATTGCAAGGTCTGGCGGGACGGATTTGGCCCGCGGGCCTTGTGTTTGACACATGTGTGCTAAAGGGAAAGTCAGCCCATGGTCAGAAAGGACAGTAAACAATGCTGCAGATTCCAGGTCAACACCCAGGAAGAGCCTCAAACCCGAGCGGCCCAAGTCCTGTGCTCAGCATGCGCATGCAGCCTCGGACCCCCTCCATCCCTTTCACAGAGCACTGAGAGCAGCTTAAAAACATCCCGGAGTGTGCACACACACTGCAAGGTCCCTGAGCGAGCGTCCCTCCTACAGAGGGAGGCTTTGTCTATGTTCTCTTCCACACACTCTGGATGAATTTCCCAATCTCTCGGGCAGACAGGCCTGGGTATTTCAAGGCTGGGTGAATTTAAAGCTTGTAGAATTCAGGTTAAAACACAGAAAATGAAACAAAGTCTTCCCCTACAAAATGTACTCTGAAGTAATTTGGGTAACAGCATGTGTTACTTTATTTGTAGAGTAAAGCCCAATACTGATATTATATCTACATCTGTTTTGCATTCTTTTTCTGAAGTGAAAGATAGAGGTGAAACAATATGTAAATAAAGTGGACAGAAATATTATGAATGAGAAACTTGGAGCTATGAAATATATAACATAACCGGTTAGGAAAAGATTTTAAAAAACCTCTTTTGAGCCCCAAGTGAAATATAGAAAAATAATGTTTCTGTGAATTAAAAATGAAAAGCTGGCTGAAACCAGTTTGGCTCAGTGGTAGAGCGTCGGTCTGCGGACTGGAGGGTCCCAGGTTCGATTCCGGTCAAGGGCATGTACATTGGTTGCAGGCACATCCCCGGTAGGGGGTGTGCAGGAGGCAGCTGGTTGATGTTTCTCTCTCATCGACGTTTCTAGCTCTCTATCCTCTCCCTTCCTCTCTATAAAAAATCAATAAAATATATTTTAAAAAATAAAATAAAATGAATGAAAAGCTGTACCCACATCACCAATGTGAACAGTGTCCCTGAGGTAAATGAGCGGGTGATACACAATGTGTTTCCCGCCACAGGACATGGCCAATTGCGTGCTCGCAGCCAGGTGACAGAACAGCGCTGCCCTGCACACAGCAGGATTCGTGTCTTCATGCCTTACCTTCAATGGACCTGAAGTTAAGGCATTTGCAGAAAAGTTTTTCATGTGAAAAACTCAGAGGTTTCAGAAAAAATATGTACACCCAAACCTGAACCCAAAGGCCAAGAGCGAGAAGCAATCAGATGGAGCCTGAGCTGAACCCCAGGGAGCGGCTTCTCAGACCAGACGAGGAACGTGAGGGCCTGCATCTGGCGGCTCAGGGCTCGCCAGGCTGCAAACAATGCCCTGTGAGCGTCTAGCGGTCCATGTGGATAAAGAAAGAGAGACCAACGGGGACATGTCCTTTCTCTACCTCTTCCAGCCGCCGTCGCTGCTCCTTCTGCTGCTCAATCCGTTTCTGCCTCTCGGCCAGCAGCTGCCTTTTATACTCCTCCTGCTCCCGCAGCTGCTGCTCCTGAAGCAGCTGCTGTCTCCGCAGAGCCTCCGAGCGCTCCTTGTTCTCCTGCTGCAGCCGCAGGAAGTCGCGGCGCAGCGTGGACTCCCCAGGCACGTTCACAATGGAGCTGCGGGAGGAAGGGGCGCTCAGGGTGGCACCGCCCCTGAGGGGCGGCTCCGTCTCCCATCACCCTGACGTGCCCTCCAGTTAGTCCAGGGCCGTAAGCACACCTACTGCCCTGCTGCTTTCACTCACCTCATAAATATCTCAACGCTCCGGCCAGGGACATCTCCCTAGGACTCGCCCAAACTCAAACTAAAAACTGAGAGCATTCCTCTCCGACCACCTTACTTCCCACCAGTGACAGTAACGTCCTTCTGGGTCTGCTGGGCAGGAAGCACCATGTAACCTTCAGTACTCCCTTTTCTTCATCTGTATATGGACCTCACCTCCCGTGGGTCCGCAGCGGAGCCCCAGGGAGGCCCAGGCATTAAGCACTGACTGAGCAGCACCCTTCCTAGCTGGTCTCCCCCTCCACTCCCAAACACGTGGAGTAACACGGCACAGGAATCTGCTTCCGCAGCCTCTCCCATTAGGTGATGCTCCTGCTCCAAAACCACTCATGGCATTAACTTAATCCCTCTCAGAGTGTTAGTCCCACATGGACTCAAGTCTGTCTGAAGAAAGGGACATTACAGTTTCTTCATCACATTCACCCTAACCCTTGCTATGCTCTCTGCAAGCTGCCAGCGGTACACGCGTGCCCCAGGCTCTCACCCTCCTGCCTGCCTGCGGTCGGTGGGTCAGTCAGTATGTGTAGCCTCAGCGTGAGCCAGGCAAGCCCAGTACCACAATTTTAAACTCCTCTATTCTTTGACTCATTGTCACTGTGAGGTCCATACGACCAACTCTCCATCCTTCTGCTTCCCTGTACATTGGGAGGCAGAGAGGACCATGGACTGCGAGATGGGTCAGGACAGAGTATACCTAATAAAGGGAAGGGAATGCTGCTCACCACACTTGTGGGAGCAAAACAAAAAGGAAGTTCTGGTAAAAGTGCAGTTTCTCCGTGGCGGCCCGCCCGGCCGATGTGCACGCAGGGCCTCTTGCTGGGTGCCAGCTCCCTTCCTCAGGACCTCACTCACACAGCCCACACGTTCCCTAAGGACCGTGTGTGTGTGTGTGTGTGTGTGTGTGTAGAAATGGAATCTTGGTAAAGGATCAGTGGGGAAGAGCTAGAAATGTTTCAAAAAATAAAAAAATAGAGAAGAATGGCGGCTACTAAGGCTCTTCCAGAGCCAGGGGAGAAGGGAGTCCTCTGAGGGCCCCGTCGCTCTGTAGACCAGCGGCTGGCGTACCTCGGCTCTCCTTCCTGCTCAGGCACCTCTTCCTCTTCCTCCTCACTGCCGCTGTACTCGTACTCCGTTTCATCTGTTGAGGAAAGACGAATGGGACTGTTCACAAATCATGACACATGCACACACAGACAAGCCTCCAGGAGCGGTGAGCGTGTTCCTGGTGAAAACAGCAATGTGTGCAGAGCGTGGGGAGGAGGCCCGTGGCCACACATTCTACTGGAGGGCCGCTCCCTGGACGTATTCCCCAGGAGAGCAGATCTCTGCATCCCAGACACCCCCACAGGATGTCCGCTGGGGAGCAGGCCAGGACAGGCCCAGAGCCCTGGACACAGAAGAAAAATGGCCCAAGAGCATCAGCAAATTCAGAAAACCTACTCTGATGCTCAATTTCAAAAGAAGGAGACTTAACTGCCCAAACTAAGGCTGGAAGGGTCAATGTGGGGAGAAAGGAGACATATGGAATAGTTTCAACAATAAAGATTTAAAGTGTGTGTGTGTTGTGTGTGTACGTTTACATATACATAATAAAATGCTTATGCCTAGTGCTCGGGGATCCCCCTAAAGTGCAGCAGTCTGCTGGGCTGGCAGAAAGAAAGCAGTAAGTAGATACCAACGGCAGAAAAAACAAAATGGAATGTTCCCACAGTTATAAAGGTGGAATCGTGGAGACCTGAAGAAACAATACAGCAGAGGGAGACAAAACTGGCTCTCCCTAGACAAGATGAGTGTCAACACGAGTAACTTACTTTCACTTCAACAGGTTCTATGCCATTTTCCCAAAAGTAATAGTCCATCCTGTGGGACCCTGACCTTAACGTCAGTACTTGGCTTTCAGTGAACAATTTCCCTCCATGGAGCAATCAAAACCAGGAAGGCTGAAGAGATTTATAAACAAAGTCTCTTCACAAAAAACACATTTCTAACTTTTTTCCAGAGACGTACATTTAAAACCAGTTTTCTGGTAAGAAAAATGCAGCCTGAGAACTGAAACTGGTCCCGCCTGCGTCACATGCGGCTGCAGGCCTGTCTGCACCCACATCCACAGGGTCACCGGCCACACACAGGGCACCACCTCTCGGAGGCTGTGCGAGCCCAAAGGCAGCATGCGAGGCCCGCAGGTCCTGGGACCACCCGCAGCTGCTGGCCCTGGCCCGTCGTAGGCCTGCGGGCACAGCCCAGCGGGCAGGAGCACCCTATCCTAGTTGGCAAAATATACATGTTTAAGATGAAATAAAAACAGATCTAATACCTTTCTCTCCTCTCTTCTTCCTGGTCCGGTCTATATGGTCCTTAAGCTGGATTCTCACTTGCCTCTCATTTGGCTGGTCCCTTATGAAAGGATGTTTCAAAAGCTGCTCTGTGGAGGGCCGCTGCATGTAGTTCTTCACCAGGCACCCTTCTATAAAACTAAAAAATTTCTTTGACCTGTAAGAGAAAGTAAAAAGATCATCAAATGTCTACCACAAAGAGCACACCTCCCAAGGAGCAGTGGCGCACCAGCTGAAAACGGAGGCAAGCCCCAGGATGGCGAGGTGCCTGGGAACGCACAGGCATGGCGCGGGGACAACGGGAGCTCAGGATCGGGGCCAGGAGCAGGCGCCCACAGGCCGGGGCTAAACCCGATCACTGGCACAGGCCACACACCTCCTCACGCAGAGCCTGATCTAAAGTAACAGGGTTTGAATGTAATGTTGCTTAGTAATCCCTTAGTCGTGGGGGGCAGTTGCTAAAACGAAAGTAGGTGGAGGGGAAGTCGGGGGGGGGGGGGGGTGTTTGCTAAAACGAATGGATGTTTGGAACCTGAAAGACAAGGACAACATAGAAACAAAAGAGAAGGAGCCGAGTAAGGAGTAAGTGACCAGAAGCTGGGGCTCTTGAACCTGTTAACGTGACATTCCAATCCCAGCCTCAAACTGGACTGCCATTCACTCTTTGTGCTGATGGAAACGATGGTTTGAAGGGGGCGGTAACTCTGTCACCAACATTTCGCAGACCAGCCACTTGGGTTTTTGCTGAGGAGCCTACCTCATGCTGACCCCAGCCTGAGTCACGGCCCAGACGCTGGGCCCTCACACCTGAGACTCGGCAGGCACCACCTCCTGCGTTAGCCTCCCCTGCACCCCCACGTGCCCAGCAGGAGCCCCTCTTCGGGCCTCTGCACCGAGCGAACTGCTCCCGCCGGCGGGAAAGGCGCAGCGCTGACACGGGCTACTAGTCTCCGCCTGTCAGCATGCCCAGCACCGAGATGGCAGACCACAATAGATACACAATAAATTTTTGTTGAATGAATGAGTTATTCAGTTTAAAAAAATGTATATTAGAAAATAAGTTCAATTCTTTCCCATTACTTTCACTGCTTTTAAGAATCACTTCTATTGTCCTATATTTCCATTCAAACTTACTAGGTTTTTTTTCAATTCAACAAATATTTATGGATCGACCACTGGACACACTATGAGAAACGTGCCCGGGAATGCATGGAGGTGTGTGCACCTGTCGTCACCGGGAAGAGGGGGTGGGTCAGACAGCATAAAGCAGGCACTGCTGTCCAAGGTGAGTGAGACAAGCCATCATTCCAGAGAGAAGAGAATGATGGGAACAAAGGTAGGAAACTGAAGAACGATGAATCCTGCCCTAGTGCTAGTAGGAAACACAGAACAGAAGAGAAAAACAGGTTGGGGTCAGCTCAGAGAAGGCCCCGTCACGGAGGCTGCTGCTTCGTCATGGGGGCGCGGCAGGGCCAGTCCTCGCTGCCGTGGAGGAATGGCCTGTCACAGGCCACTGTGGGGCTTCACTGAAATACATAGCCTGGGCCCCTCCTCCGACTAGGAACCAGGAGTTCTGAGGCTGGAGCCCTAAAGTAAGATTCCAAAGATTCCAAAGACATACCATGCCCATGGATAAACATCTGGGAATCGAGGATCTGCAGCAAATCCTTTAAAATCAACCATTACCATTCTGCTGGCAAAGAGTTCCTGGCCACCTCTTGGAGCCCCTTCTCCCTGCAGAGGGGAGGGGCCTTTATGTCTGCAGCCACTCACTCGCCGCGTTAGAAAACGTGGGGAAGCCGGAGCAGTGGCTGCACAGACACCTAATCAAGCTCAGTGGGGATGTTTGGGCAAGCACTCTCAGAAGAACCTGTCGTCAGCCATATCTGTCCCTGTGCCCCACTGTATTACGCACACAGTAGTGGCTGATCCCAAACTGATGAAGAGTCATCAGAGGGGCCTGCTGACAAGCCCTGTAAATGAGAAGCACCTGAAGATGGAGCTACTCTCTTTAGTAAAGTCTGACAGAGGAAAGGAAAGGGAACAGTGATAGCGCCGAGCGCAGCACAAGCCAGATGTGTGTGAGCCAGCCTCGGCTTCTTCCTGGACCTCCACAAGAAGCACTGGTCTCCCTCAGCTGGCCACCCACAGAGGTCCAGTTATCATGTCTGAGTACAGGGGACCACTGGGGCTAGAGTCTTCACAACATGGCCTCAACACCTTTCTATAAACGAGTGACCCCAGGTTTCTGGAGTTAAATGTGGTTTAAGACAGTATATAAAGAATAGAAAGATACTGCCTGCAAACAAAGGGTGGGGAAGGGGTAGAGAAATGTGCTGGGGGAGGGGCAGTGAGGGGAGGGAAAGAAACAGGAGCGGAAACACATGTGCGCGGACACAGCCAGACAGGAAATGAAAGCCACCGAACATCAGAGGAGAAGCCGAAAAGAAAAGAGCAGACAGGACAGTGAAAGACCAAATCCAGAATGACAGGCTTAACACCCAGGTCTTCTGCATACTTCAGGGTTAGCATCAAGAACCTAAGAGGACAGCACTAACTGGGAAATAGTTCCAGAGAGGAACAAAACCAGGTAGCAAAACCACAAGGCAGCTTGGAAATGTGGGCACAGTGGGCAGACAGCACACAGGGGCTGAGAGAGGCTCACACTGCAGGCGGGAGCAAGTGGGCAACATGCTCAGACCACAGCGCGCTCCCTCGGCACTGACATGGCACCACGTCCACAGTCCAGAGCGCAGGTCGCAGCTCTGAGAGAGGGGGCGCTGCTCTCCACTAACAAACGTTTTTCTTTGGCAAATAGATGAGAGCTGCAGGGAGAAGCAGGCAGCAGCCCAACGAGAGGCCCTTCCCATGAGCTTGGGATGAAGAAGGACGCCTGACGTCCATGCTTTGTGACGATAACAGTGAAGGGCACCGTTAATGCTAACAACCATTCCACCCGAGGAACCGCAAGCCCATTCAGCTTTGCTTTTTATTGCATAAAGTTCAGAAATAGAGCAAACTTCAGTGTGTTGAAATATAAAATGGGACATTTTTCTTTAACCGTGCTTTGGTGTTCGTATGGCCACTTGTGACTATTTCTGTAATACAAAGAGAATCTATCAGACAGGACAGAAAGATCCATGGAACTGGTGACTGGGGATTGGCACTTACTCTTTGGGAATTAGAATGGCCAGAATTTTGACTTGAAGTAAAACTAAAAAAAAAAATTTTTTTTTTTTTTTTTTTTTTTAAGAAAAGAACAACAACAACAAAACCATTTGTAGCTTACCATTTTTTTGACTTCAGCCGGGGAGGAGGGTTTCTGGGAATGAGAAACAGTGCTCTCATTGGATGCATGTCACAGAGAGCTGGGGAGAGGAGACGGTCGTGTCAGTATGGCACGTATTTTACTCATTCTTGATCTCTAGGGCTCACTCAAACACCAGACGCTCTGCCCGTCCTCTGACTGATATGCTTTCTTGTGTCAAGCAGGCCGGACTTCTAGCTATGAGCCCTGGGGCAAACCCTCAATTTCCCATTTAAACACAGCAAAACATAAAGAGGACCAGCACAAGAAGAATATACAATTTCAAAAGACACTAAAAAGTTTTCATGAATCAAAGATAAATATTGATTCAAAGTGTTCAAAGACTCAATAGCCAAGTTCATAAGCCAACCACAGGCTGACAGTGGACTATGTAGGGAGTGCAGACGCTGCTGTGAAGGCTCCCGGACCGGCCGCAGTGAGCAGGCAGCCTTCAGAGACGCCCGCTCAGGGACACTGGTGCCACACGGCCCAGCACACCTGTTAGGTGAAAGGAAATTGTTCAATTCCATGAAGTTGCTGTTTGCACTCCTACCACTCGCCCAATTAAGGCACATTAGGTACACCATTCTATGCATAATGGACAACAGGCACTTTGATGTGTTTCTTTACCTTCATGAGAATCTTACAAGGCAGCTGGGAAATGGGGGCCAAAAAAGACAACCCCATTCCCACTGTGAGGGAACTAAGGCAGGGCCAAGCAACGTCAGTCACTCGGGAGGAAACACGAGGGACATGTGTGTTCAGGACAGATACCCGTTCCTGTTCTGCAAACTAATTAATTCTCCGCTGTTGGCAATTTTTTTCATTCATTCAACAAAAATTTACTCAGCAACAACCAGTTACCAGTTATATGTTCTTTGTGTATACTTTTTTATTAGGGGAACCAGCAGAAAATGCTATTTTTTCCTGTTCTCTGCAATTATACCACATCCCTGATAAAAAAAATCAGTTAATGAAATTGCCACTGATTTAATCTAAAGCAGAAGAAAATTTCATAGGTAATACCAAAAAATGTTATTCTACAGATAAAAAGTTTTGCCTCTATTTGTAAAGTAAAACACAAACAATACCTAAGTTCCATTGTTTGTACCAGTTTCACGGAATAAAGAAAAATCCCTGCTGTTACGGGAGGTCAATCACCGGCATCTCAGGCCCCACATCCGAGTTCAACTTAAAAAGGACAGAGGAGCCTATGGAGCTCACGGGACCTCCAGAAGGAGCGGTGGGTCCCTGGCTGCTCTCACACCCAAAGCTGCCCTGTGCTCAGGCTCCTGCGCGGACACGCCAAGAGTGGCTTCCTCCTCGAAGCTGCTCTTTCCCAGGCTCCGAAGCCAGGCGCACGTCACAGGTAACAGCGGGCGACAGAGAACGCTACTTACGGGGAGCGCCTTCCGCCATCTCGATGGCGGTGATGCCGCAGGACCACAGGTCGCTCTGCAAAACAGAACAGTGCGTCACAGCCATCAGAGCAGACACGGGCCCCCGCGTGGCACTGCTGCTCCCTCACACGAGGAGACAGATGCCTTCTCCGGTGTATAAACTGAAACATGCTCAGGAAATCACACAATTGTTTTAAGTGAATAAGATAAAGATAAAAGTCATGTGTTCGTTAGAACCACTGGTGTCTACGAGGGAGCAGAGGTGGTGCCTGAGCCAGCACCCTCGCCCCGCCCCGCCCCGCCCTGCTCTTCTGTCCAGTGTTCCATTCCTTTAGGAGAGTGCGATCCTATAGATCCCCGGCCCTGATACGTGCTTCCTTTTAGGTTCACTCTCCAACTTCAGGAGGCGCTGGACGTGAAGAGCGGAGGGCGCCCTGTGCAGGCCCTGCCCTGTGGAAGAAACTGCCGCTGAGTCACCGCCCACCGGCCGCCCGCCCGCCCGCTCCAAAGGCGCGCACGCTAGGCCTAGGGCTTTCTGTGCATGGAATCTTTTCTTAGTTTGAGAAGCTGAATTTTAACTTTATTCTCCACAAACATTTTCATCTGTTTCGTTCACCTGTGTCCCAGGAATTATGTCTGGTGTGTGGTCCAAATAAGGCTTTTACAGTAATTAATGAAGGATTTCTATCATTAGCATTCTTTGTTTATATGCTATCCTAACATGGGAATCACTAAAGTTGTTCAGCTTCATAGTTTTCAAATAACCTGTAATTACTTAAGAGTGCAAACTCATATGTTTGATCACAAGACTAAGGAAAGGACCACACATCTCTCCTTGGTTCCATGGAGTTTCTGTACTGCAGGGAGCAAGGGAGGGCACAGCACCTGGACCTGGGACCACCTCCGCAGCACACCTGTGCCCAGTGCAGTGGAGCCAACCACCTATCCTCCGAGCCAACCTTCATAATCCAGGTGATCAGCTGGGTCTAACTATGGGTTTTGTCTTTAAAAATCATTTTTAATTTACTTATGTATGAAAATATTGGAAAACTTTTGCAAATTTTGCAGGTTCAGAATGATGTGTATAATCTATTTGAAAATACTTAAGCAAATAAAAAAAATGCATATTCCTCTCTACACCATAAACTTAAATTAAATTTCATTAACTGGGTATTTATCATAAACTAGAGGCCTGGTGCAGATCAGGACTGACTGGGGCCGGCCAGGGGGAGTGACAGCAGGAGGTTGGCTGTGGGAGCTCACTGACCACCAGGGACAGATGCTCAACACATAGCGACAGGATGACTGGTCGTTTGTAATGGTTGCGTAGACTTTTATATATATAGATACTGTGGAAATGGACAGTGTTATAACATGAGTACAATTCTGAATATTATTAACAGGTACATTAACCACTCTGACATGTTAGATAAAGCCACGGGACTTTGGGTTAATATATTCCACCTAAGTCTGAGAGACAAATATGGTTCTCCATGAGGATAAGGACTGCACACCTGAGCCATGTGCCAGGAGGCCACAGGCCTGTAGGCACTGCAGTCATGCAAACACACTCATCACCTAATAAAAGGCGGGAGCTCTGCAGTGTCCAGGTTGCCCTGGAGGCAGTTTGTTCCTCAGTAAGAAGACCAGTGATGGTGCAGAATGCACGAGAAGGCTGTGCTGACAGAGCTGCCCCTGCACAGGGGCCCAGGCACCCTCCCGGAGGGAGCAGGCAGGGACCCTGGGAGCCAAGCACGCAGGCGCCTCTTACTCTGTAGTCATAGGTGGCATCTGGGTTCTCGTCGCAGGCGATGACCTCAGGAGCCATCCAGTAGGGGGTGCCTATGAATGTGTTTCTCCTCCCCACAGTCCTGTCCAACTGAGCGCTTACTCCGAAATCGACTGGAAGAGGAGAAAGAAAGAAAACGGAAATCACAACTAACCAACAAGAAGAACACAAGACCACGAGAACCTGGAGGCGGTGTCTTCAGAGCAAACTGAGCAGAACGTGCGTGGACGTGCAGCCCCTCAGGTCACCGCACGACAACCTGCCTTCCAGAGGCAGCCAGCAGCCTTCCCACCGGGAGCTGCCAGGCCCGCTCGCTCCGAGCTTCCAGCAGAGGCCGAGATCACTCCAAGGGCACGGGTTCCACTCCCGCCTGCGGCTCAGCCTGAGGAGCCACCTGGCCAGCTCTTGGGGTGGATGCTCCTCTGAGCCAGAGACTCGCCGGCCAGGTGTCGGTCACAAGTGACCACTGAGGGGTGCACAGACGGCACTGCGGGGTGCGTGGGAACATGCGGCTTGTGCAGTCAGGAGTGAGAGCCGTTCCAGGGCCTCCATCTCAACTGGAGGGATTTCCCCACTAGCGGACTATTCCTCTGAAGATGGCCAGCAATTGCAGGTACTGTGCGAGAGCAATGACGAGATCTTGTGTTTCAGTACTAGCCACTGCACCTACAACTCTCACAGGTGGACTAGATTCTTATCAGCACAGCTTCTGCGATGACTTAGAGCACATGTGTCAAACACAAGGCCCGCGGGCCAAATCCGTCCCGCCAGGCCTTGCAATGTGGCCTGCACCGCGCTGTCATCACTGCACTGCGCTGCGTTTCCATCACAATGACAGTTTATGACTGTTCAGTAAACCATTCGGCCCGCGATTTAGGCTGGATTTTAGATTTTGGCCCCTTCTCTGATTGAGTTCGACACCCCTAACTTAGAGGGAGAAAACAAGGTTAGACCTGTTTAAATCTGGCAGGAGAATTATAGGAAAGTGGGTGCAGTGAGTTGAGATCCAGGCAAGGGAAACCGGAAACCCGGAGAGCCACTGGAACATAGAGAACCATTAAAACCATGTCCAGAAGGACACCACGGGCTCCACCCCCATCCATCACATGTTACTGAGTACATTCAAGGCACTGTGCGGGTGCTGCATAAGAATACTCTGGCAAATCAATCAATCCTGGTCGCTGTACCCTCAGAACTTATATTCTCATAAAGGAGACAGAAATATTAAGTAAACAAATAGCTTTATAATTATAAATTGTGATCATTATTATGGAGGAAATAAGCACAGACCCAAGGGCCAGGGAAGGCCAATGAGAATGGAGAAACACTGCAGCTTCCACCTAGGAACATATGGGCGAAGGCCTAAGGCAAGTTTCCAGGAAGCAGAAGTCAGTCACTGAGGAAGGAGCGTGAGGCCCTCACCAGAGGCCAGCAGTAGCAGGGCCATAGCTGCTTATGAGCCGTGAGGGAAATGTGGCTTTTATTCAGAGTAAAATAGAAAGTTACTAGTGATCTTGAAGCAGGAAAATGACATGATCTGATTTAGACTCCAGTCTGTCTACTGCACAGAGAATGGGGGTGGATGGGGGGGACGACAACATGAAGGGAGGAGGCATGGGGGAAGGGAGGAGCCAGGCTACATGCAGATGGGCAGGGATGCTGCTGGCTGCGCCAGGAGTGAGCCGTGGCCTGCAGCCCTCCGTCACGTACCGAGCTTCACCTCTGCGTTCTCGGTCAGCAGCACGTTCTGGCCCTTGATGTCCCGGTGAATCACATGATGGATGTGAAGATGCGCCAGGCCCTGAATAGGGAGACAGACTGAACGTTAGTCGCTATCTCTGTGAGTCAGGCAGCAGGACACACGCCTGCTGAGAAGGGCGTGGACCACAGCTAGCGCACACATTCGATCTGGTTGCTTCCCGGGAGGCGGCGCTCGCAGCGCTCCACAGGCAGAGCAGTGCCCGCCCTCCGCTCCAGCGGGCTAGGCCCTGTGGTGGCATCACCACGTTCCCACTGCCCGAGACTCTGTGGATGATTGCAGTGCCATTTGTGCACCCGTCTTTCAGGGAGTGACTCAGAGGTATGTTTGAACTAGACACAACCCAGAGGAAAGCAAAGATGAGCTGGGTCCCCCACACACAGCGCATCATCCCACCTCTGCCCCAAATGCAAAATAACCCGGCCATCAAGGATTGTGCGAGAGTACTTGTTCCCCAGAGAGACCTCCTGGCACAGGGTGCTTTTTGATGACCTTGTCTCTGGAAGGAAGCCCAAGAGCAGTCTCTTCTGAGTGGGAAAGCAAGAACACAACTACATTTTGCATCCAAATATGGTCTGAAAGATACACATGCCCCATCCTCTCAACTCCTTTCCTTGCCCATCTTTAGCTCAAGAAGCAAAATCGAGAGCCCGCCTCTTCCGGTACAAGCAGCCCACTCCCTGGAAAGGCCTGGTCCCCAGGGGCAGACTGAAGAGAAGGGTTTGACTTTCCCGTCCATTGTTTGTGGGTTTATTGTTACCATGGCTTTGAAGGCTGTGGAGTAAGTGAGCCAGCTGCTCTACAATACTCGTTTCTCAAGCGCAGGCCTGCCGCAGCCTCCACCAGCCACGCGTGCAACCGTGGGAGGGTGCAGGGTTAGCCACGGTGCTGGCGGGGAGGCACTAACACAGGAGCCACTACAGGGCCAGGTAGAGAAAAAGCCTCCTCTCCGCATGAAGTAACTGACAGCAGAGGAGGAGGCAAAAAACGCACAGCTTCCCTACGTTTTCCCCATCTCCTGCTTCACCACTTCCGCTCATCATTTATTCTATAATTTGCACAACCCCTTCTTACACTTCTATAGCATCACCTTAGCAACAAACACAAGTGCCAAGTGTCCTCAGACAAATGCGGCCTGGGTATTCTTATTCCTAACAAACAACACACATAGGAGTGTCTCCTGTGCCGGGTATGGCCAAGGGTGGCCACTGAGCCCCGACACTGTCACCAGTGCCACCCCAAGCCAGGATGGCTCTGAACAGTGAACACATGTTTCCTGTAAGGTGTGTCCGGGAGGGACGGAACGTGTATGTTTCGCAGCTCCCATGTCAAAAACCAAGCTGCAACGATTCTTTCTTAGCAGAGACGGACAACCAATCCAAATACACACAAGTAAACATTCTAGACCAAATGAATCCACATTTCAAAGCTGGGGAGCAGTCTCCCTGTAACTATCTCATCGGTGGCCAGAGAACAGGGGCAGTCGAAGGCTACGGAAGGCTCTAAGTGCCCACCTCACATAAAAATGCCCTTTCCTCCTAAATGCATGGCACTGCCGTGTAGACTGCACGCGAAGTGGCTGGAATGCCAGTCAACCTTCTGGCCTCCCGAGGTCCAGTGGGATGGCCAGGAGCTTTCGACACGCTTAGGACACCCTTCTGAGGGATCTCAGCGCAGGGCGTCCGAATCTACCCCCAGAGGAGTGAGAGCAGTCCGGGTCCTCTGCACAGTCTCCACAGGTTCTCTGTGCTGCTGGGCCCCAAGCCTCCGCTGGGGCGTAACCTTCCTTTTCTAGGAGAGCTCACCTCCCAGTCTACTGCCCTCTCCTTACCAGAACGACTCCTAGCAATTCCTTCCTGCTTCCATGCCTGCTTCTGGATCCCAGAGGCTGGTGTGTTTAAGTTCACTCAGACTTGTCACAGGACAGAAGCCACACGCGCACTGGGTAACACACCAGGCTGCTGGCACATGCTGCCGAGACATGCTTAGCGCACACACTGGTAACACGTATGCCTGTGCACAAAAAGCATGAAACCGCCCTCGCCGTGTGGCTCAGTGGAGAGAGCATTGGCCGGCGGACTGAAGGGTCCTCAGTTTGATTCTGGTCACGGGCACATGCCCAGGTTGTGGGTTCGATCCCTACTAAGGAGCATGCAGGAGGCAGCCAACCAATGATTCTCTCTCATCACTGATGTTTCTCTCTCTCTCTCCTTTTCTCTTCCCCTCTAAAATCAATTTTTAAAAAATTGCTCCAACTTTGACCTTGAGAGCTCTTTGGAAAAGGCAAAAAGCATGAAACTGATGAAATGTGTCTAAAATACACTCATTTGATGCCTCAGACATTTACAGTGAAACCTTTCTTTGCTTGAGAAATCCTACACTGGAGTTATATGTAGAAAAACAGGTGTGTGCTTCTAACAGAGTAAGGACAACTAATAGTACATGAGCATTAGCTGTGTATGCTCATGTTACATCAAATGACTCTGATACATTGACATTGAGTTCTCGTGATGAGGGCACTCCCTTTATAGGTGTGGCACTGCATCTCACAGGTGAGAAGGGCAGTCCCAAAAGCCAAGTGTGCAGCTATGGGTCCCCATCAGATAAGCAGCAGGGCAAGGCTCTCACAACCAAGTCTGAAGGACCCCAGAGGCCACAGCCGTAGCCAGGCCCTCCTGTCCAGCAGGCTGTTTTCCTGACACTGACTGCGCACACCTGTGCACGCCCTGCGCTCCATCGCAGTGGGCAGGCACACTGCCTTCCCGCCTCACACCCTGCTCCCTGTGGCAGCCTTAGACAGAATCCTGATGCTTTAATAATAAAATCTGAATGTTACTATAAATAGATGATTCTTCCACTTCATCCACATAACTAGTTTTCTTAAGGGAATTTCCTATTGTCAAAGGCAGTGTAAAATCTAAATAGATAAAAGCCTAGCAACCAGCTGGAAGCTATGACATGCACTGACCACTAGGGAGCAGATGCTCAAGGCAGGACTGGAAACCACAGGCATGGAAACATGGCACAGACTGATGAACCTCAGAGGGAAGGAGGGATTCATACCCCAGTGGGCCATCAGCCTGTCCTGCAAGGATGGGCTAAGGCTGGCTCTCCGAAATGCCCCCAGGGGTCCCGGACTGCGGACCGTGAGAGGGTGCAGGCCAGGCCACGGGGCCCCACTAGGGCACGGATCCGTTCACTGGGCTTTTGGTATCTAAACAAAAAGAAATTAAAACCTATCCCTACGAATTCCACTTGGCATTTTAAAACCTGTAGTCCTCTATGAAACTTCAATATAAGAACGGGGGTAAATTCACCTACAAATAAAAAGTAACAATTTTTTATATTAACGAGAGAAGCCTAGCAATTAGATTCCAGTTTAACTCAGTGGAGCATGGTGGTAAATGAAATCAAACCAAGTCATTCATGTGCGTAGTCCAGGGGCAAGCACGGAGGCCCTGGCTGTGGTCAGCGCGGCTCTGCCCCCAGGGGATCTTCAGAAGCTGCTGTAACAGTAGCACGGAAACTTCCTCTAAGAGCACAAGACAAGCCTCCAGTTGGCTATAGGTAGCAGTAACACCGGACTGTTCCTTCATGCATGGACCAGCAGCTAGCGCCCAGCTCCACGACCAGGGCCAGCTCTCGGCACCACTGGCAGGCCCGCAGCTCAGGCACGGGCTCTGAGAAAAGCAGGCTGCTTTCTGTCCCCTCCAGTCTGACTTTCTCAACACCTGAAGGTGAACTCAGGGAGACACAAGAAAAGTTATTTCCTCTTTCAATCTACTTTCTTTAGATTCTTGCCAGAATACTTTGATTCTTTAGATCAAAACCATGATGTACTAGCTTAAACTATCAAAGCCAGCTAGTGATACAGAGCCCAAGGAAAGTGAAAATGCAAATGCAAGATCCGGTGGGCACCAGAGCCGTGCCTGTCCTTACCCTCAGGATCTCTCTGGAGATATACGCGATCCAGTCCTCCTTGAGCGTGTTCCCCTTGGTATTCTTCACCAGGTCTGTGATGGACCCCGCCCCACAGAACTCCATCACCAGCTGCGAGCAGAAAAGCACACTGAGACTCACGCCTGGGGCAGGCAGGGGCATGGGCACCCGCACTCCCAGGAGTCTGACCTCCATCTGCCCTTCCTGAAGATCCAGGCACATGTTCATTTTGGAGACATTTGAATTACGGAGAGCATGTCACCATCCAATTACTAACTGTGCACATTTGATGCAGGCCACTGAGGCTTCTGCCGCACCTCGCCCCCTGGCACACAGGTGCTGCGTGGCCTTTCTCTCCCAAGCACACGGGAACAGGAGGACCATTTTGTTCTTAATCAATGCCCAATTATCAGAAACCTGGTACAAATACTCCCAAACATTGTTTCTCACGTGCCCAAATCAGACTATTATGATTCTCAAACTATTTTACATTGACTGTGTTTAGAACAAGAGAAATGCTAGTTTTAAGTAACACATAGTTTTAAAAACTGTATTATATATACTGTATCTAAATGTTTGAACAACAAGGACATAAGCATATTTTTTAAGTACCTGAAAAATCAAATGAACTAAAATTTTAACTATGATGACATTTGGGCAATTGAAATGAAATTAACTTTCCCTTGCATTTTATTAATTTTGCAAATTGTCTACAATGGCTTTTTTAAAATGTAGGAAAAGGATTAATCTCTATTCCTGCTCTCTACGTCCAGAGTCTTTGGCGTGACTATGTGATGACCATATTTCTCACGGTCTCTGCCCCATCATCTTAAATATACCTGTGGTAAAGAAGAGAGAAATATAAAGGTGTCAAGCCCAGAAATTTCCTGGAATTTGGTGGTTGTTTTTTAAATGAATCTTTATTGTTCAGATTATTACAAATGTTCCTCTCCCCCCACCCCCATCCATTGCTCCCCTCCACCAGGTTCCCACCCCACCCTCTGCCGTTTACCAACCCCCCACTGTCCTCATCCATAGGTGCACAGTTTATGTTCAGTCTCTTCCCACACCCCCACTCCCCTTTTCCCTGAGAATCGTCAGTCCACTCCTCTTCCATACCTCTGATTTTATTATATTCACCAGTTAAATACTGTTCATCAGATTTTTTAATTCCCTTCGTTTTTAGTTTCACTTGTTGATTGTTAAATATTTGTTGTTCATAATTTTTATCTTTATCTTCTTCCTCTTCCTAAAGAACCCCCTTCAGCAATTCATATAATTCTGGTTTGGTGGTGATGAACTCGTTTAGCTTTTTTTTTTATTGGTGAAGCTCTTTATTCTGAGTGATAGCTTTGCTAGGTAGAGAATTTTTGGCTGTAGGTTCTTGCTATTCATCACCTTGAATATTTCTTTTTTTTAATATATATTTTATTGATTTTTTACAGAGAGGAAGAGAGAAGGATAGAGAGTTAGAAACATCGATGAGAGAGAATCATCCATCAGCTGCCGCTTGCAAACCTCCTACTGGGGATGTGCCCACAACCAAGGTACATGCCCTTGACCGGAATCGAACCCGGGACCTTTCAGTCCGCAGGCTGACGCTCTATCCACTGAGCCAAATCGGTTTCGGTACCTTGAATATTTCTTGCCATTCCTGTCTGGCCTGCATGGTTTCTGTTGAGAAATCAGCTGACAATCATATGGGTGCTCCTTTATAGGTAACTACCTGCTTTGCTCTTGCTTCTTTTAATATTCTCTTTTTGTCTTTTGCTCTTGGAGTTTTAATTATGAAGTGTCTTGGTGTGGTCCTCTTTGGATTCCTTTTGTTTGGGGTTCTGTGTGCTCCCTGGAGTTGTAAGTCTATTTCTTTCACCAGGTGGGGGACGTATTCTGTCACTATTTCTTCCAATATGTTTTCGGTATCTTCTTCTGGGACCCCCATAATTCTGATGTTGGTTCGCTTGAAGTTGTCCCAGAGGTTTCTTACATTATCTTCAATTTTCTGGATTCTCTTGCCTTCTTGCTTCTGCGGAGGAGTGTCTTCTGGCTCTTTGTGTTCCAAATCTTTGACTTGATTCTTGTGATCTTTCGGTCTGTTTTTAGGACTCTGTATAATATTTTTTATTTCAGACAATGTATTCTTTATTTCGAGTTGATCCCTTTTCATATCCTCATAGGTCTCTTTTATTTTATCGGCCTTTTTAAAGAAATTCTTAAAAAGCCTTATAACTGTAGTTTTGAACTCAATGTCCATTCTTTTACTTTCCTCCAACTCCTTCCTTCCTTTGTATCCTGCCTCTTCTCTGCATTTTAGCTGCTTCCCTGATTTAATGAAATAGTTTTGTGTGCTAGGTGTTCTGGTAGAGCTCAGTAGCACAGCCTTCCCAGTTACTTGAGGTATACAGTTTTGGTGCAGCCCTTTGTGGGCTGTGTGTGCAGTCTTGTTAAGACTTGCTTGTTGTTGGTATCACTGGGAAACGTTGATCTCCAAGCCAATTGGCTGTGAGGATCAGCAGTGTCTCAGGCAGGAGGGCTCTTTGCTCCGCTTGAATGGGGCGGAGTCTTGGGGTGGCGCAGACAAGCTTTGGTTGGCCGTCAGTCCCACCTTAGGAAAGTCCTATTCGCAGATTGGTTGCTGGTACGTGCACCTCTTGGGTAAAAGCTGTTCTCAAGTTTTGCCCAGTCCCTGACAGCTAGTTTTTTCCCGGCTCAGAGTTGTCTCTCAGCGTAGTCGGGAGTTTTTTGTGTGTTTTTTCTCCCCAATGAGAAAGCCAGCCTCCTGGAGGGCTTCTGTGTTTCGCCTGGATGGGGCAGAGTCTTGGGGTGGTGCAGACAAGCTTTGGTTTCCCATCAGCCCCTCCCTACAAAGTTCCGGTTCCTGAGTCCCACAGTAATGGCCACTGGCTTCAGCCACCTCCAAGAGATCTCTGCCCACTGCCTGACAGTGGCCTCTTCCTGACTGGGGCCATCTATTAGAGCAATAGGGCTGTTTTGTTTTCCTCCTGAACAAGAAAGCCAGTCGCGCATTAGCTGTGTGCCCTCTCCGCACGCCGAGAGTAAGCCAGCAGCAAACTTGGCCCACCCTCTCCGAGTGCCACAAGCAATCCAGCAGGGAACTCGGCCGCTGCCTTTTCACACGCACAGTTTTCCGCACCTTCACAGCTCCTGAGGCTCAGTGTCCCTTCTCTCCCCTTCCCAGATGGTAGAGCCTCCTCTCAGCCAGCTGTCTGGCGCTTCAGGGCAATGTTTCTTGTTTTCCGGTTGTGGTACCAATTCAAACTTGTGGTAGGCTGCATTCAGGTGTCTACTCTATGCCGCCATCTTGGTTTCTCCCAAATTTATTGTTTTTAACTAACTATTACTACCAATACTATTAAAAATTACTAATATATTTGTTTTCTTGTGATTTGTCTCTCACTTCCAGGTAATAAAGAAAGATGCATTCAGTTACTGCTTCCATATTAATAACCCTTTGTACACATAAGCGTCTATAGACACAAGGATGGTTTCCATATTGGACACATAGCAGTTATCTGGTTAATTTTCATTATAAAGTTTTAATTTTCTTTTTTTGTTCTCATTTTCAAGATCTTAATTTTCTTGCTCTTTAATTACATTGCTTTTAAAACATGCCATTTTATTCCTGAAACACAAATTTACCTCTTTTCCAGGCAAAGTGAAATAAACATTAGTATAGTGTCCACCAAGAAAGGTCCCAGACACCAGCCCCTTTCCTCTACTTTCTCCTCCTCTGGAAGTTCCTACTGCTTCCCACACAGCCCCCCACAAGACACCCCGAAGGACACAGTGCTTACCCAGAGCTGGTCGTCATGTCCAGGGGGGCTCTTTTTAATGAAAGCACCGTAGTATGTGGCGATATTTCTATGATGAGAATATTTCTTCAGCATATTTATCTCCAGTTTGATTTCTTCCTCTTCATCCTCAAGAAAAAATAAAAACAGAATGTGTGGCTTCTGATAATGTGCACGACTTTACTTCCCTCCCCACAGGCAACGACAGAAGTTTCCAGTCCATTCTATTTTCACATCAAGAATTGGGGACTTGCCCTGACCGGAATCGAACCTGAGATCCTTCAGTCTGTGGGCCGATGCTCTAGCCACTGAGCCAGAACAGCGAGGGAAAGAAACTATCTTTTAAAGAGAAACTTCCAGTTGTACACCACTGAGTTAGAAACCAAACACATAACAAACATGGAATCATCTTAGAAAAGCAATTCTCAAATGGTGGCTTCAGAATGACCCTCACATGAGAATATTACAGATATTCTGTAGGCATAGCTGTCACGTGGCTCACGAGGTCATGACTGCAACTAAGAGTAGAGTCCTGTGGCCAGTACAGTCACTGTGGCAGCCCGTGCAGTGACTCCTTATAAAAAATCATACCAAATGCGTATCACTTCATCTGTGATTTCAACAGGGCCATGTTGAAAGTAACAATAAAAAATGTGACACTGAATAACTAGGATGCTACCTTAATTCTGAGCAGAACCAGTGTGCAGCCTGGCTAAGGTGGTTACAGCACAGCCTTCTTCAAAGGAACTTCTAAAACATCAGCTTGCACACAGGGCCAGGCCTGAGTGGAACTAGAAGCCCAGTCCACCCATAGCGCAGTCCTGGGCTCTGTCCCACTCCCTACACAGGGGAGATTAGTGAGCTGCCACCATGGCATGGGCACAGGGCGCACGAAGCTGCTCTCCTCTGAGCCAGCACATGGCCCCAGCACCGGGGGCTCCTGGGCAGCCCAGAGTGTCCCTCATGAGGCTGGCTGAGGGGAGGACTCCTAACAGCAGTCCTTAACCGTGCTCCTGTTGGAGGCATGCGTCACTTCGGGACAGGCCACCGTGAAACATCAGCCCAAAAATCCGACCTCCACTTTCCTCACATGGACTAGGTCATGAGGAAGTGAACTGGAGATATGTATTTTCTCTTTATACTAATCAGTAAACCTACAGGACCTGGGCTATAAAGACTATAGAAAAACAAAAGGAACAATGCTGAGGTAGAATAGGAAAAGGAAAACACTGATCATAATTTTGTTGGTGGTAAGAGCAGGCGATTGCTTCTGAAGTTCAAGCAGCTGCGTGCGCTGTGCAGGCTCAGTTCTCCTCCAGCGCTGAGCCCGCCCTCACAGCAGCAGGTACCCAGGGCCTGCAGTGTCCCCCAGGACAGAGCAAACGCTGCTTCTCTGCTCCCAGGCGGAGCGCCTGAGAATAACAAAGGATCATGAAGGACTCCGAGAACTGGTTCCAACCACAGTGAATTTTTACCCATTTAAACTCCCTGCAGGCCTACATTCAGGGCTCCCCTCCCCAGAGTGAAACACCATGTGCAGGTTGGCAAACACGCTGGGCGCAGGGTGGCTGGGAGACACCATGTGATGAATCCATGACTTGGGAGCATCCATCCCTCCTCTCGCTGCTATGATTAGAGCAGTGACTATCACCCATCTGACCAGGTAAAAGGCGCACAGTACCTCACTCTCACCCAGTAACGAGAGACAGTGTCCGAGAGGCAGGACCTGCCAAGGACTTGGAGCCAGGACAGCTGGAACCCTAGTGAGGGCTGATGGTGCTAACATGGGGTTTGTATTGTCTCTAGATACAGTAATAATGAACTGAGCTCCGAGTTCACACCTCCTTTAACCATTTGTTAAGAACAAGCTTGGTGGTCTCAGCCCAACATTTAAATACACCCCACCTCCACCACCTGGCACAGGAGACACAACAGAGAACAGATGAGAACTGGGATTTTAAACAAGCCCCACATGAAAGGAGGAACGGGCAGACTAGCAAGACCAGTGTGTGCAGCTCGTGGGGAGGCTGTCCAAAGGCCTGCTCTTCACTCCCCTCCCGTGAGGCACAACCAGACACACAGGCAGGAAGAAGCACTGGAGTTTAGGTAACTGAGAGAGGCGAGAGGACATTCTGGAGAGAAAGGTAAGGCCCCTGCTGGATGCCTCCTGGGCCGGGCCGGCAGCTGCTGGCCCACACAGTGCTTCAGTGCAGCTGATGCCAATTAGCATTTTGGACTCCAGCCAGCGGAAGTCAAGCCTCCCAGAAAAGGCCTTTGTCCCAGGCTGGCAGGGTTCTCTGCTGCCTCCCCTGGCTGCGATGGGGGCGGGAGACCAGAGAACAGTGGTAATGTTCAAAGGCAACTCTGGTTTGTGTATGAACCAAGTGACGCAGCCGCCCACCCGCCATCTGAGCACGCAGGGGTGCGTATTAGTAACTTTTTTTAAGCAACTCCTTAAAATGTTGATTTAAACTGCTGGTACCTACGTTCTCTCTCCTTCCTGATGGCAGTAACTACGTGAAGAGATGGACTGCACACCCGCTAGAGATGAGTCGGCCGCCGGCCACGTTCTGAGCTGGCCTTCCTCCCAGCAGGCCTCCCCAGGACTCACCACCGGGGCAGGGGAACAGAGGGGCCCTCCCTGTTCACACGTGTAAGGGGATGCACACTAGAATGGAAGTTTCCGTTTTCTGAACCAGTTTATACGTTTGTGTGACTGTGCACAGGGAGGCAAAGGAGACCACCTCTCACTTGGCAATCCCGGCTGGAGCTGAGGTTATTATCATTACACCTCACTGAATTAGCCAAAATTAAAATTTTTGACCCAAACAGACAAGTTATACCATTTAAACTCCCTGACAATTAAACCCAGGGGGAACAAAACTAAACAGAAAAGATTTTAGAACAAAGTTCAGGTTATCTGGTCAAAGGAGGGGATGGCATGTTCTTTAAAATTAACCAGCCCAGGTTAAAAATTACAAAACCAACATAACTGGAGTGGAAATCAGTTATGACATCTTGCTCAAGAAAAAACACTACTTTGAACCATTTTAGACACAATGACACGCTCTCGTTTTGCTGCTGAATCAGTGAACTTCTGGGATGCCTAAGCCCCCGGTTTAGAACTACGCTCCCTACAACGACGCCTGTGTAGGCGGCGCCTCCGCATGGACCTGGCGAAGTTGAACAGAAACCTCTGGAAAGGGCTCCCCATTCCAGATCCCGGGAGCGCGAGGAGCCACGTAAGAGGTAAGAATCCAGAAGGAGTGGAGCCAGGCGTGGCTGACTCGCAGGTTCCAGACCTCAGTGAGGAAGTGCCTGCAGGTGGGAAGCTCGCGGCCAACAGCAGGAGCCTGTGGACCTGAGTCACTGCAGCCTCGGGCCTCGTAGGGGGCTTCAAGAGTGAGGAGCTGCTGCTTATGATGAGCAGAGAAAGCGGTTTCTTTCTTTAATACATTTTATTGATTTTTTACAGAGAGGAAGAGAGAGGGATAGAGAGTTAGAAACATCCATGAGAGAGAAACACTGATCAGCTGCCTCCTACACAGCCCCTACTGAGGATATGCCCGCAACCAAGGTACATGCCCTTGACCGGAATCGAACCTGGGACCCTTCAGTCCGCAGGCCGACGCTCTATCCACTGAGCCAAACCAGTTAGGGCAGTTGTTGGCAAACTGCGGCTCTCGAGCTACATGCGGCTCTTTGGCCCCTTGAGTTTTTAGCAAAGGCCAGCTTAGGAGCACCCTAATTAAGTTAATAACAACGTGCCTACCTATATAGTTTAAGTTTAAAAATTTTGACTCTCAAAAGAAATTTCAATCGTCGAACTGTTGATATTTGGTTCTGTAGACTAATGAGTTTAGCTGACCTCTGAGTTAGGGCGAGAAAGAGGTTTCTTGAGAAGTCCTCCTGGTGCAGAGGCCCTGAGGGCTGCAATAATGACCTTGAGACTGGGAGCACCACACGCTGAGCTGAGACAGGGCGGCTCTGATGGTGAAAGAGCCTCCTCTGGGGGTTAGCGCTGTCCATGGGCCACAGGCCACAGGCAGGCGCTTGTGAGAGGAGGGGCGAAGGAGGGAGGCAGTCCTTCGAGAAGCTCACTGCTGCCCTCGTCAGGCGGTCCGCAGCCACTCCGCCTCCAGCAGCCCCACATCGGGCGACCCCTCCACCAGCTAGATGGCCACGTGCTAACTTGCAGGAATAGGGAACCTTGTCTGTCAGGGCCATTTGGATATTGATACCATCATTCGTGGGCCACACAAAGTTACAAACTTGAACATCGGCCTGCTATAACTGGTCACACATTTAACACACCCCAATGCCTTGGCAGGACCAGACCAAAGGATTCCGCAGGCTGTATGGGGCCCGAAGGGCGACGGTCCCTACCCCTGTGCTAACGGCTCAGATGATCGTTAGCATTTAGCAATAAAAGGTTTATGTGTTTACATTTGTTAAGTCATAGTTACTGGGTGACTGGTTTGTAAGGTCACATAGGTTTCAGGCGCGCATGTCTATGAACCATGTGCTCACCACCCCAAGTAACAATCAAGTATTTTAAATTAAGGTATATACTTTGGTTTTTAAATTTTTAAAATGTCTTATTGATTTTTTTAGAGAGAGGGAGGGAGAGAAAAAAATTGATCACCTCCTCCTGCACACCCCCTACTAGTGATCAAGCCCATAAACCCAGGCCTGTGCCTGACCAGGAATCCCAGCCGTGACTCCCAGTGCTTGGTGCGGTGCTCAGCCAACTAGCCACACCAGCCACAGGATACACTTGGGTTTTAGACCAATGCTACTGCACACGTAACAGGCGGCAGGACAACGCAATCATAACTGTTAGGTGCAGCCGGAGCCAAAACATGCCTGCGACTTGCTTTACTTTGACGGTCACTCACGGCGGCGATCGGGAACCCACAATGTCTCCAAGGTATGTCTGTCCTGCTACTGGGGACCCTGAAGTGTGGTCACCAAGAATAGGACCTGATACCTAGACACTGGGTGAAATGGGAAACAAATCTTCCAGGTAAACCCCAGGGTGGCCAAAATTAAATCCTCCACTAAAACACCTGACTACTAATTAAAGGAAACCAGAATATGTCAACCCAAAACATGCTTCTCTGACATAC